CTGGGGGGAGCATCGCTGGAAAATCAACACCGGTTGCATAGTATACCTTTAAGCTAAAAGCTCCAGCTGTCAGGAGGAAAGGCTCTCCCTGATCACTTAGCCTCACTAACTAACTCGCTTATATCGGCCTTTTTAGAGTGTGTGACTCTAGACAGTAAAACTATAAGGTGTTGAATTCTGTTTAAAGGACTTGAAGGGCCACATTTAACTCATTCATCTGCATTTTAAAGTAATGCATTAAAACAAGAAATATCAATTATTTTTTTAAGACAAATTATGAAATGCCAAAACCAGCATTCAGTTTGTGTTTTAATACATCCTCTGGATGACATCACTCTATGCACTTTGAACACCGTTTAAGCCCCTTTCATGTCACAGCTCTGTAATAAACACTGAGCCGCTAATTACTGAACATGTTGTCCTTTCACACCAACAAGCCGATCCAGAGGGATTATGGGAATTTATTTGGAGGGATGCTAATCACACAGCTGCTGGACAACAGAGCAGTGGAGATGAGATAAACACATCATGATGAGAGGGAGACAATAAAGGATGTTTTCAGGGATTAGGTTTAGCTTTAAGCTCAGGCTTTTTGGACATTTTTATCTTGTTGAACAAAGTTTGAGGGTGGCCACTTCCTGATGCATCAAAACTGCCCGAATTTGCACAAAGTAAGGTTTTTAAATCTATGGATGAGCGGATTAGGAGGGAATCAACTATCCCTGCCTGCCTGTCCACTGGACAGAGACCTAAACCCAACAGAACACCGGTGGGATGAATTGGAGTGAAGGCTCGGAGCCACACACTTAATTTCAATCCATTTGAGGAAAAAAAAAAAAAAAAGTCAAATCATCCCAATAAAAACGCTCCTCAACTGTATTCCTTCACAAAAGAACTGTGAAGGAATCACCATATGCAAGAGGAGAGCAAACTGAGCTACGTTATCATGAGCGAAATTTCCCGATCCGATCTCTCCTTCGGAAATTCAAAATCTCCGTCTACATGGACACTAAATGAAATGATCGGATCATGACGTGTGTGTACATGTACCAGGCGTTCCATCATATTAAATCTTTTAAGCTTGTGCGGAACTGACCCTTTTTTCCAGCAAAGCAATGGAAGAAACATTACGCTGATGTTGCACACATGCGCAGTGGAAGTTATTTTACTCCAAAGATCCGATCAAAATGGCGATCAGCAAAAAACACCTTTTAAGCGAAATAAAAATTCCTTCAGAACAGACAGTTTAGATGAAACATTTTTGATCCTGATCATTCAGATCAGGCCTGAAATCTGATTCTTTGCATCCATGCAAACGTGGTGAATTTAGATTCTGCTTCCAGCCTGATATTCCCGTTCCCTCAGGCCAGCTGACCAGTTGCTTCTGAAGGTGCCAAAGATAAATTGCAAGCTCAGAGGGGGCGAGCTTTTTCTGTGGCGGCTCCGTAGCTATGGAATGATCTTCTTTGGACAGGCCTTGACTCGCTGTTTTTAAAGTCGTAGGGAAGTTGTATTTAAAAGTCAAATCACTCTGGCTTAAACATGTATATAAATGTACTCTTTATCAGACGATATCGTCCCAAAAGTTAGAAAATTTCTACTTTCTAAAAAATCCTGTCTTAAAATTTATGAAAAATAAAAGTTTTTCCATTATCTTATGCAGGCCAGTTAGTTATACGTCAGCCTGTACACCTAAATTCGGCCAATCATATCAATTATCATCTGTCAATCTAATTTTTTCCGCCATAGCATCTTGATTCATCTTTCGCAGCTAATATACGCAACGGTTGATATAAGAATCATCATTTCCTTTCCCATTGAGTTCCGTCCCAGTGTTCATAGGGATGGACGTCTGTGTCTTCAGCAGGCGTAGAGCTAACAGAACTGGCAGCGTTGCGAGGCAAGGGCTCAAACATGTACGGCTGGAAGCCTTCTACACCAAACCAAGCTTCTGCCGCCCTGGCGTCCTCTTCCACAACATCTTCGTCCCCGCTTTCCTCCTCTAAATAAAAAATGGATGACGGAGGAGACTCATCCACGACCTCCGACACTAAACTCTCCTCCTCTTGCATGTTTCCTCTGTCCATAGCGTTCCTTGACAGTGTCGTTTCTAAATCACCAATTTAGTGCTACTTGGTCCCAATGGAATTTCCCATTGGGAACCTACTAGCACCAAGTTGCTAACTGGTTAACGAAATGCTTCAGAGGCACCGGTTACAACCAAACTTTCTTGCAAACCTTCCGCCATAACAATCCTGCCTTCTTGATAAACAACCAATCACATTCACTTTATTTACTCGTGTAAAGTCGGGCACCACTCGGGAGAATTTGGAAATGCAGCGATTGTAACAGCTGTTTCCCTATGACTTTAAGTCTCCTCTTAAGATCCTTCTTTTTTCTTTGACTTTAGGTTAAAGGTTTCAATTTGTTTTATTGCATCTGTATATTATGTGTTTTATATTCGATATTTTCTTTTCTTTTATAATTGCATTGTATTTTATGATCTTGTACAGTACTTTGGTCCTGTCAGTGTATAAAACATTTTATAAATAAAGTTGGTATGGTATGATATTGGAGGATCATTCAGCGAGTTTTCTCTGTGCCCGCTGTGATGCTGCACCAACTGTTTTCATGTCACCAAAATCGTTCCACCGTCCTGAATAAATCCGTTTAGTTCATCAAGGTTTTCCGTCCTGAAAAGCATCTAAAATCTGAGACAGTTTGAACTAAAAGGGGCCATTTTTTTTTTTTTTTTTACTTTTCAGCATCCAGTTCATAAAGATAGTCCGTAATTAAATTACAATAAGGTTGATGCTGGAACAAAACAAAAAAAGGGGGGAAATAAGTTGTTGATTATGATAAATGATCAAAGACTCTCAAGCCATTTGCTTGACGAAACAATCAAAGCAAAGCTGCTGAAAGGTAAAACATTCATCTAAGTCATGATGAGACACAAGAGAGTAGTCAGTGGGCAGAGAATACAATTCACAAAAAGCTCATCTTATGTTTTTTCATTCAAATATGAGAAACGGTGTGCAAAAGGAGCCAAAAGCAGCAATGGTCCTCATGTTCAATGAGAGATGACTCACGAAAGTCCTGCCAGGGCGGATATGGGGGCTCCAGGCCTCTGCCGCTGCAGTCTGGTTCCAAGGCCGTATTTCTCCTAAGGGAATTCAGAAAGAAGAGACATGATAAGGCCGACCGCCAAATGACTCTAATGGAGAGTCACTATGATTTATGAGACTAATCTACAGCTATTTTTCTACGTGACAATTCCTCAACAAAGCCTTTTTACAGAGAGAAATCCATGTCAACTCAAATGAAATTTGAATTAAAGGAAAAGTCCGGTCACATTCAGAATACAAACTTCTGAAAGTACTTTAAGTATAAAATGATTACATACTTTTCAATACATAAGTGTTTTCAATTAAGAGTAATTTAATTTGAATGTGCTTTACTGGAGGCATCCATGTTTGTCAAAGAACACTACTGCCACCTACTGGTTTGTGACGTCATGGCGCGGTATCGGCTGCTGTTCAAGTCCCAGTGCTGTATCTGGTGTTTGTAACAACGCGCTATTATCCAAGTCATCTTGAAAACATTCTTCTTCCAAATGTTGGCTACATATTACGTGTTTTTTCTCTGGCCAGAAGTTCGATGGCAAATCCTCCCTCTTCAAGTTGGCAATCCAACGACGAACCCGTCCGTGGAGGATCAGGAATCGGAACGGTGAAATAACTAACTTTTTTTTCACTTTTACCCGATGTATTCCAACATCCAGCTGCCATGCACGTGGGCATTGTCAGTTTAACTATAGCTCTGGTGAATTTCAATGGTGAAGTCCTCTGGAAATCTTCAATAATTGTTGTTGATTGCAGATGTGTCTAGTAGGGGTGTAAATAATAATCGTTTTGTATCAATGCATCGATCCAACAGCCGACGATCCGATGCATCGATACGTCCACAAGATAATCGATTCATGTTTTGTTTTTTTCCTCCGGTCTATTTTTATCCATTTCCTCCTGGGCGTAATTCGCCCTCCCGTGCTGCGGTGCCGCTAAACCTATTTTGCCCTCCTACCTCGCTTCCTGGTTATACTCTTACAGCAGTGTGTTGCAGCAAGCTTCACACAGACATTTTTGATTCATGCTCAATATTGAAGCGTGGTCTGTGCTACACACTGTGGGTCTAGATACAACCAAAGCGGTGAGGAAGTGGGGGCGAGTTTAGTCCGACGACGGAGGGACATGAGGGCCAAAAAGAGCGAGGATCCAGGTTGGAAAAGGGTCCCAGCATTCTCGTGCACCTCGCTCTTCTAGCGGGTCAAATTTTAAGAGTTGCTTTCCGCAATTTTGGTCTTAAAAACAAAACAACCAGCCTCCTGTCTGTGGTCAGCTACAATTTGGGAGAGGTGCAGCGGAGCGTCTGTGGAGGGGGCGGGGACGTCTGGAGCCGAGGTATTGAATTGCACTCATTGCACTGATTTTGTTCAGTATTTTTTGATGCAAAGCCTTTCAGAATCTATAACGCAGGGGTATTATTATTTTTCAGTTAATGAGGTTTTACTAGGAATAGGTGGAGTGCAACTTTTCTACTTCTGTTATTTGCTATTGTTTCTAAAAAACAAAAAAAATGCATGATATTACATCTTTCATTGATTTATTTCAAATTTGAAACCACGTCTATCCCGTAAGGTGTAAAAAAAAAAATGTAAAAATTAACCAATCAATCAAATCGAATTGTATCGTGGTGTATTCTTGAGTATCGAAAATAATCGAATCGTTGGGTCAGGAAATCGATACTGAACGGAATCACCATGATGGATGTGATTTACACCCCTAGTGTCTAGTAGTTCCCATTGATTTTGCTTGTAAAGCAGGAGAATGGCGCTAGGCTTACCGCACCGTGACGTCACTGCCGGAAGATGGCAGTTACAATATTTGGGCAAAAATGGCCGCTCCTAGACTCCAGGATCGCAACAAAAAAAATATTGTCTTTACTTTTTTTACTGATTAACACTAAATTCATTAAATTACCGCAAATGCATTAATTTTAGGTATAAATAATGACCGATTGGTTATTTCTTGCTGACCAGACTTTTCTTTAAGACATTAAATAAAGCAGATAGAGTTTTGTTGATCTTCTGGTTAGAAACAAAGGACACAGTGCTGCTGGAGAATGGCAAGGGGGGATTTCTTGACTCAATTAGGCTTAAGTGCTTTTGAATAAACAGACATCACGATGCCAACATCAAGCTCCCCTTGGGTAAATCTGAGACTAATTTACCCAAGGAGACATTCATGTGATCTGTGAGGCCTCTCAGTAACAGGGTTGACAAGTAAAGAGATAAATGACTGGAAGAAGACTACCCAAATTGTGAAAATGTAACTCACCACCACATGAATAGTGTGTTGCTGGGGGGGTAAAAACCAAAATATCAGCGAGCATAAGCAAAGGAAACAAAAAGAGGAGAATAAAGATCAAAGCGAAACCAAAGCAATCAAGCCGAACGTCAGTGTCATTTGGTGACATGCATTGGCAACAAAAATCATTTCAGATGCAAAACAATGTGACTGCAGGACATAAGCGGAGTGATCACAGGTACGATTGATTCACATTAATGGTTGTTAATGCAGGCGGTTTGAAAAGCAGGAGTACAGAGTGTGACAAGAAAAACTAAGGAGATGTTAACACTGCATACAAATGTTCTTTGACATTTTAGCATCACAGACACGACGAGCTGGAGGCGGATTTGATGTCTGAATGGTTCAGTGTTGAACTCAGAGCTCCCAGACCCACCGTCCCCCCCTCTATAAGTAAAAGTAAATCTGCTTCAACAGAACCCCAGACTGAATCAACGGTGTTGATCTCAGATAGTGCTAAATAAATGACACCACGGCCGTTTAGCATTTTGAAAGGTTGGAGAGAAAGTGTGACATTTCTGAAAGCATCTCTCTCAGAGGGGAGCGGAGTACCGAGAATGCCAGGGGCATGCACTGCCGCCTCCTCGCCAGCTTCTTCCTGTCTCTCTCCTGCTTCTCTCGGTGGGCGAGCTGCTGGTAATACTCAATCAGTTTGGAGATCTGTGGCAAAACAAAAACTCAGGTCAATTCTTTTCTAAATAAAAAAAAAATAATGCCTTTAAGATCAAACAAAAACAACAATGCATGTTAGGGATGCAGCAGTAAACATAGGCAGGTTGTACCGATAGTTTGGTTCATGTGTGCTGAAAAGACGAAGCTTTGAAAAAACGTGCTGAATTTTAACTCAGAACTCAATGTTTAGCCTTGCAGCTTTAAAAGGCCATCAGATAAGGGTGAAATTACAAGAAAACAGTGAGCTGCAGGACATCCTACAGTCTGCTGTCTGCAAACTCCTCCTTCTATATTTAAATAATTAGCTGGTATTCTCCTTTCTGAAGGTCCACACGAGTAATACAATATGTTTCACAATGAAGTCTTAATATGATTCTAACTGGCAGCTGGTAGCAGTGGTCCTCCTAAAGGAACGAAACATGCAGCTGTTAATGATCGGTTCCAGATGTGGCACTTCCAAAGGTACCAATCGAATTCTGCCAGATTTACCACGTACCTATTAGACTGGAAAGGATACTAATTAAAACTTGATATCAATATCAAGGAAAATGTTTGATAACTGACACCATTTTCAATAACATGAGCATAAAAATGGACAATAAAAGCATATCTTTGTTTTTTTACTGACATTAAAGACGCTAAACGCTATGATTTTCTCTCTGTAAAAGTATTAACATTAGTTGTTTGTACTGAAGCTGAAGTAGCAGCAGCTGAGTTTGCCTTCAGCTCTGAATGTGTGCATTTAACTTTCTCAGAGAACGATTTAAAAGAATGCAGTGTGTGATCAAGGAACATGTGAGCAACTCAAGGATGATCAAATGACCACAGGGTAGGACTTACCCGCTGAGCGTGGGGATTTTCTGGCTCCTGCCATCCACCGCTTGCTGTAAAACACAATATGCATCATTACTTTAAACCAAAGACAGACACAAATGAAAGCAAAGCTTTGTTTTCTATGTTTTAATTGACTGTGTAGAAGCGCCTACCGACGGATTTGTCAGCCATGCCTACATCCCTGGAGGTCCAGCGACAGAACCCGCAGGCCAGATAGTAGGCTTTCTTCATGGTCGTCTTGGTGGGGTCATCGGGGAGGGGAGCCGGGATGTTAGTGGCCCGAGTTGACAGCGTGTGCATGCAGCACGGACAGTCAAAACAATTAGCACACCTGCAGCGAGGCAACAGTGGATCAGCGATAGAAACAAATATATTTCAAGCGAGCAGAAGTAGTAATAGAAAAAAATAAAAAATAGCTTTTTTATGAATGTTGGAGAATCAGTCACCTGTTCTTTTTGACCTTAGCTTCAGCAGACGGCATGTTCTCCAGACAACTTGGACAGTAATGGGAGTCCACCTAATTATCAAAGTACAGGTCAGTCAGTTCTGTGTAAAGATTCAGGGAAGATCATCTTTCTCAATGGTTTTAATTTGTTGGGCTAAGAGGCACTGATGGAGATCTACACAAAGTTTTAAAGTGCAACAGATTTCACTTTAGTGAAATAACATAATAAGAGGAGATATCAATATGCTGTTAGTGTAGGAATATGATCACCATTCAACTATTAACCCTTTTTTAAATAAAAATCTGTTGCTGCTTGAAAGTTTTTTGTGATTGAAATTAGTTTTCAGAGGTTTGATGGAGAAAAAGGCCAACAGAATTATAGGTTCTCTACCGTACCCAACAGTGGCCATGAGGTGACTTTTCCACTGTTTCACTACCTGGACACTATCTGCCCAAGGTTATACTTAACCTTAAAGGAATAGTACACCCAAAACATGA